GCACGAAAATGAGAGAAGCGAGAAAAGTTGAGCAAACTCTTCCAGACCTTGGCGGGCAAATGCAGCTCTTCCTCTGTGACGACACCTCCAGCTCCGTGCCGGGGCCAGACTACTGTCCCGGACCCTCTCCCCACTCTCCCCGTCCTCCTGGGGAGGGGCCGAGGGAGGGAGGAAAGGCCGCCAGCCTCCCCAGGAGCGTTTTGCGCTGGGCCCTTCTCCCGTCTCTCTGAATTCCGCCAGACTCTCTGAGGAAGACGCTGTTGTCTGCAATTCGCAGCCGCGGGGACTCGAGGCGCAGAGCACGCGAGCTCCTTTTCCAGGGTAACTGCAGTCAGAGTGGAGTTGGGCTCAGCCGCGGTTCTGCAGACCCCAAAGCCCCTGCCTGTCCGCGACGCCAAGGGGAGCGGACCGCGCCCACCTACTGCGGTGCCCCAGGGGGCCGGCGAGGCGAGGGCGGGCTCACCACTCCCCACGGACTCGCCGCTCCCAGGCGTGGGCAGCAAGTGTGCTCGTGGAGGCCAGCACGCCGCCGTGTCTGCGGTGGGACTCCTCCTGCTCCGGGACCTGAGGGAGCCGTGTTCCCCGTTCTGTCCCTCCTGAGGCTGCACCCCGAGAACACGCACTCTCCGGAGTCCGTCTGGGGGTCCAGCCGCAGCCCCGGGTCCTCAGGAGCCTGCCCGGACCCCGCGGCATCTGCCCGGCTCCCTCCGTCTCCGCCCGCGGGAAGTCTGTGGAGGAGTCTGTGGGAGCAGCGGCAGAGCCACACGGGGGAAGAACCTCAGGGCCGGGTCAGTGCGGCCCTCAGGGCAGGAACGGGAACGTTGGTGGCAAACGCACAAGGCGGGCAGGCAGGGAACGCCAACTGCATGCGCGGGCCGAGGAGCCTGCGCCAGGCCCTTCTTGGTGCGAGTGAACCCGTCTCCCCGCGGCCCCCATCCAGCCGCCCTGCCCGTGACACCCGTGTGCTCGTGGCGTGTGCACGTGGCGGGGCCGTGGGCTGCTGCGGAGGGAGCCCGGCCGGGGCACAGCAGAGCCGGCCACACACGGGGGACCCTGGGCCCTGCCACCCGCACAGCACCGCGGGAGGAGACCCCGAGGCAGGGTGTCCCTGGAAGGCGGGAGAGCTCCGCAAAGGCCGGGTCCAGTCACGGGCGAGCAAGA